CCCCCCCCCCCCCCCCCGCCACATCTATTTTCCTTGGTTTTTATTTTTAATGATAACTTTTTGTTAGGACAAATGGAATAGAAGATCCAAATCACTATTAAACATAGAAAGGAGAGTGTATGATCTGAGAGGGTCATTAAATGTTATAAATCAATCATATTTCCAGTGATTTTCATTGCATTTTTTCCATGCAAGAGGAATGCATGTATCCTCATAATGTCTCTTTGTAAAGAATGTTAACTTATTTCATAAGTCTTGTGACGGTTTGAGATGTTATACTCGTGGAATCCACTCTGTGGTGCACGTGCCCTATGTAATTTAAACTAGATTATTTCTTAACAGCAGTGTTCATTATGGCGCAACTCTGCCCTACATGCCCTTCAGAGCACTGTAGATGAGGGTACAAAGGCAAAGTAGCTTCAACAAAAACTTTCTTCCTTCAAAATAAGAACCTTGAGAATAGGGCTCCAAATTAGTGGTGAAGAAGGGAGTTCATGGGATCTGTGCAGAAAACATTTACTATAAACTACATAACTGTTCCCTCTTCTTTTTCTTCTTTCTGCAACTTTGCTCATATAAATTCTACTCTAACTGATTAACAAACAGTTATCTTCAGTTGGGTCCTATTAACCTAGTAGAAGAGGGGGGCTGTCACCTGAAAAAAAGCACTGGGTGTTGCCTTTCAAATATCTTAACAACATGGGTTGTGAAAATGCATTGTAATCCTGTAGAATTAATAGTGGAGGTTGCTGCTAAGTGTACTCTGACAGTCTAGGTTTCTTCAGAGGAAGCAAATAAGACAGGATAGTCAGAACTGAAGCTGATAGCTCAGAGAGCTGTTGCTGAACCACCTAGATGGACAATGCTTCCTCTTAGTAGACAGATAGATAGATTTCCTATTTTGTGAGAGATGTTTGAACCTCAGGCAAGTAGCCACACTCTAAAGAAGTTGTTTTACCAGCATTTGCACCGTTGAGTGCAAAGATGCTGGATTTCATAGATTTCATAGACATTAGGGCTGGAAGGGACCTTGGAAGATCAGAGAGTCCAGCCCCCTGCCCCAGGGGCAGGAAGTCAGCTGGGGTCATGGGATCCCAGCAAGATAAGCATCCAAATTTCTCTTGAAGGTGTTCAAAGTAGGTGCTTGAACCACCTCTGATGGCAGGCTATTCCAGACCTTGGGGGCTCGGACAGTAAAGAAATTCTTCCTTATGTCCAGCCTGAAACGGTCTTGTAATAGTTTATAACTGTTTGACCTCGTCATCCCTTGGGGCGCTCTGGTGAACAAACGTTCCCCCAGATCCTGGTGAACACTCTGGATAAACTTATAGGTGGCCATCAGATCACCCCTGAGCCTGCGATTTTCCAGGCTAAAGAGTCCCATAGCTCTTAGCCTGT